GCGGCTATTTCTTCACGAATATTGTCCTTGAGCTCTGCTACGGTCCTTGTGCCCTTTTTCTGCATTTTCCATCGTTTTTGCCAACATTTAGGCCGGAATAGCGGGTATTTCTTCACGAATGTTGTCCTTGACCTCTTCTACGGTCCTTGGCTTGTTAACGTAAACCTTTGACTTCAAATATCCCCAAAAGAAGAAGTCAGGCGGCGTCAAATCGGGCGAACGCGGTGGCCAGTCTAAATCACCACTTTTCGACATCTTCAGAAAATCAATTGTTATGTGACTTGTGTGCGGTGGAGCGCCGTTTTGTTGAAACCAGAACTGCCTCATACGCTTTCGACGAATAATTGGCATCACAAAATTGGTCATCATGTCGCGATAACGCGACATGATGACCAACAGCATGGCCATTTTCATTTTGGAAGAAAATGACCGTTTTCGCACTAAAACCGCACCAAACTGTGACTTTTTCGTCATGAAGAGGCACTTATTGAATCTCCTAAGGATTTTCAGTGGCGTAAAAACGGCAATTTTGCTTATTTACGGTCCCATTCAATGTGAAATGGGCTTCATCGGACATGATCATTTTGTTCCAAAATTGCTCGTCATCTTCGGCCATTTCGATGATTCTTTGGGCCCATTTCAATCGATGAGGCTTGTCCGCAGGCAACATTCTTTGCGTCAATTGAATTTTGTACGGGAACAAATGCAAATAATCCGTTGTAAAGTGGACCGAGCCATGTCCAACTGCTGAGAGCGGCGTTTTTGGTATGTTCTTGGGGACATCTCAACACTGGCTCGTACGGCAGCGATATTCTCTGCCGATCGCCTTGGTCGACTTTTATATGGCCTCTTCGGATTAGAAAGAGCCTTACCAGTCGAACATTTTTCGTATAAACGCTTAATGGTGTTCTTAGAAGGCGCACTTCTCCCATTTGTTAATGTTTTAAAAGCACGTTGAGTATTCACAACTGACTTCTTCTGTTGAATGTAAATTTCAACTATTTCAGAGCGCTCGCGTGGCGTGTATTGGTTCATTATAAAAATCTGCTTGGGCTGACGCTTCAAACGTGGTATGTCATTAAGTGATGTGACATCTCTGTCAAAAGTTATGGCGTTGCCAGATGGGTCCGTCGAATATGGGCAACCCTGTAGACAGTGGTGCAACATTGCACATGAGCAACAGTCGTAATTTGTTTACAGAATTTGAATAGTGTAATGAGAAAATATATTTGGCTGGTAATACATTCATAAATGCAATTGGAAAAGGTGAAGTTGTTATAAAAGCGCAGTGGGAAGTTCGGTTAAAAGACGTTCTGTATGCACTGGATCTTCACGGTAATTTTATCTCAATAAGTAAGGCAGTCGAGAAAGGATATACATCACTTGTCACTTTTACATGGCGTGCAAATGAAGGACGCTGATGGTTTTGTCATCTTAAAAGCAAGGAAAGAAGATACTATGTTTGTGGTGAACAAGAAAAGTGATCATCGTTTGAATGCAGCATGTAACAAAGATATTTTATGGCACTACAGATATGGGCATCTGAACTTCAATGATATTGATGAGATGAGCAGGAAATGTCTGGTAAATGGCATGAAATTGTCAAAGCGAGTTAAAGATGTGAATGTTGAACAAAATACATGTGGCTCCTTTTCCAAGGTCGTCGGAACACCGCGCCGGAGGATCCAGATATTTAGTCACTTTTATTGATGACAAATCCCGTCGTGTTTTTGTCTATTGTATGAAAGCAAAGAGCGAGGTTTTTGGAAAAGTTCAAGGTATTTAAGCAAGAAGTCGATCGCCAAACTGGAAAGAAAATTAAGATGCTATGGACGTTAATGGACGTGATTATATAAATAATCAGTTTGATGCACATCCACAAGATCAGGGAATAGTACGGCAACTCACGGTGGCCTATACTCCACAACATAATGGGGTAGCAGAAAGAGCTAATCGCATTATTGTGAAGATGGCTCATTCCATGTTGGTTCATGCAAATCTTCCTCAAAATCTGTGTGCAGATGCTGCTTTAACTGCGGTGTATTTGTGGAATCGATTTCCAACAAAGGTTATATTTGAGAAAACTCTTTACGAAGTGTCGTTTAGGAGAAAGCCAAAGGTTAGTCATCTCAAAGTATTTGGTGCATGTGCTGTAGCTTTGAATAAAGGAAGGAGCGTGAAATTTGATCCTAAGGGAAAGCAATATATAATGATTGGCTATTCATTTGTTGCAAAGGCATATCGCTTATACGATAGAAGTACTGAGAGGCGTGACGTAATATTTGATGAAAATGGTCTTCAAAATGCCAGCAGTGTTCAAAACGGGACAAGATTCGAAGATAAGAATTCATATTATATGTTTTTAGATAAAAAAACGAACAAGGTTCAGATTTGCCCGAAATTAATACGGATTCTGCTGGAATTAAAGATGAACAAGATAATGTTAACACCGCCGAAGAGAATAGTGTGAGTACAGAAGAGAACGAGGTAACATTTCAACAAATTGGTGAGAAAAATAATGATTTAAAAGGAATTGTAAATCGAGGAGAGAAGAGAATAGGTCGTGGAAAACCAATACGAGATGGAATTAGAGGTAGACTTAAGAAGCAATTCAATGTGTTAATGGATTATCTAATGAACTAGAATTTGTACCTCAAACTCCCGAAGACGCCATGAATTGTGGAAAATCGAACTAATTGAAGAAAGCAATGCAAGTTGAACATGATACCCTAAAGAAATGATTGCGGATATATGCACTAAAAATTTGCAAAAAGTTAAACATAAGAAATTTGTAGAATTAATGAACTTAAAAAATTGAATAATTATGATATTTGGTTTGTGGGGAAGTGTTGAAAATAAACCTGCAGAGAATACACTTTGTAGCCAAACCAAATATTTACACCTAGTAGGCTTTGACATTCATATTGTGTTTGTGTCATATCATTTTCTTTACCTTTTGTAATAAACGTTTGAACTGAACACAACAAACGTGTCCGCTGCATTTATTTCAAATATTTTTAAATCATTTTTTCCTAGGCCTATATAAGGCGTGGATTTTTTAAATATTTTTTTCTAGGCCTATATAAGGCGTGGATTTTTTAAATATTTTTTTCTAGGCCTATATAAGGCGTGGATTTTTAAAATAATTTTTTTCTAGGCCTATATAAGGCGTGGATTTTTAAAATAATTTTTTTCTAGGCCTATATAAGGCGTGGATTTTTAAAATAATTTTTTTCTAGGCCTATATAAGGCGTGGATTTTTAAAATAATTTTTTTCTAGGCCTATATAAGGCGTGGATTTTTAAAATAATTTTTTTCTGGGACTATATAAGGCGTGGATTTTTAAAACAATTTTTTTCTAGGCCTATATGAGGCGTGGATTTTTAAAATAATTTTTTTCTAGGCCTATATGAGGCGTGGATTTTTTAATTAATTTTTTTGTATAAGGAGGGGATTTTTAAATATTTTTTTCTTAGGCCTATCTAAGGCATGGATTTTTTAAATATTTTTCCTAGTATATAAATATCATTCCTCGCAGAACTATAAATAGTTGTTGGAGAAAATGAGAACATCTGATAAAAATGTTAATCCCAGTATTTTCTTACCTCCATTTCACGCAATTATGATTCACTCTTATCTTTGCGTTTAGTGTGTCATTATGGAAGAATTTGTTATTTTGTAAATATTATTCGCTTAAGTATATGTCCGGGTATTGTCTATGTTCCTAGAATTTTGCCATGATAAACATCGCAAATTTCTAAGGTAATGTAACAGTGAAATACACGCACGTAGCACCATCAGCAGTAGTACGCATGGGACTGACTTATTATCTTATTTGAATATTGTTTTTTGTTTTATTAGCAAATCGGTGAGGTAAAACACGAACCTACTGACGCATACAAAAATCTCGGTTATTAAAGTTTAAATATTTGCTAATTTGACTTCCACTTCAGACTGAAAAGGTTAGGTGTTAAAATGTAATGGGGTTTTATTATAGGTTATAAAAGAGTTATAATCTGCTGGAATTTTTAGACAGTTTTTATGGTCCGTGAAAAAATATTCTATAAAAAATTCAAGCCTTTTTTGATGGTTTGAAAAAATAATCTTTAAAAATGCACACCCATTAACTCGAACCCCTACAATTTTTAACAGTAAATACAAGAAATATTGACTTTTATCTAACCTATTTTTTCACATTTGTCTCATTTCAGATTATTTAAATAATTTTCGCCCAAAATTATTTGTGGTATGAAAGCCTAAAAATCGAATGCATGGCCTTTAGTCAAGAAAAATATATGCAGAAAAATTAAATAATAAAAAAAGAAAAACTGTCTACGATTGTCTACATGTGCTTTGAAAGGTCAAAAAAGACAATGCAATCCAATAAACATTAAATCAAAATAAAATACTAGGGCCTAAATAGGGCAATAAAATTTCCTTTCCCTCATGGAAAGCACTACACTATAAAGCAAAATAAAATGAAACTATAAAAATTCAACACATAAAATACAAGTGCAAAATACAAATAAATCTGTTGAAATAGTTTGTAGTTTAATCTTCAAAACAAAGAGAAAAATTCAATTCAAGAAAAAATAAAAAAAAAAATCAAATTTTCAAGTGCCTATTTTCATTCATGGTGTAACAGTTTAAATGAAAAAAATTTTATTGTGAAATAATACAATTTTTATACAGAGTCTCAAGTGTTTTTTTTTTAAATAGTGAAATTTTTTTGTTAATTTTGAGTTTAAATTTTGTATTTTATTTTTATTTTTTTAATTTAATAAATTTGTTTTTTTTTGTGTCTCATTTTCCCTTGCAGTGTGCTAAAGACAAATGTCAATTTTTTTAAGTGCATATAATAAAAATAAATATAGTTTTTTAATATAAATTTAAAAAATATCATAAATATAAAAATTAGTGAAAAAGTGAAAAATCAACCCAACCAAAAATTTAGAAAAAAATTCGTTTTATTTCAAATCTAAACGAATTACTTTTTTTTCGAACGAGTTAAATATAAAAAGCGGCAAGTTGTACACGTTTGGCACCATGGAGGGAGGTTACGTGAATGAAGGTAAGTTTTAAACATTAAAAAAATTAAAATAATTATATATACATATATATATATATATATATATATACATACAAAATTTGCTATCAAATATTATTTGCAACTAATTTTGAATACTCTAGACCACTTCAAAATTTCATGAAAAATAGTTGAAATTAAAAAAAAAAAACAATAAGGAAAGTAGCAAAGTCGGACTGGGCCGACTATATGATACCCTTCACCACTTGGGGTATGTTGTACATATGTATCCTTACAATTGCATGCCAATGAACATATTCTTGTGCTTCTGGAACCTATGATAAATTTAATTTCATTCGGGCAGATTTAGAGTCGTCTGCGTACCATGGGACAAATTTGTGAAACCGATTTATAGCAAAATTGATACGCGCTATTCGGTACGCCGCACTGTTAAATACTAATTTAATAAATTTAATTTCAATCAGGCACCCGCAAACAAAACCCAATATCGTCATTCATGTCTCAATTTGATGCGTTGTGCAAAATTTCGTGTTAATCGGACAAACATTAGGAATTTGGTACATTATTTATGGTACATCGAAATCTGAACCGATTTTCCCGAAACTTAACACTCATAACTCTAGAATTAATTTAGTGCCAAATTTCGTGCAAATAGAAAGATATATAGGAACTTTGGAGTCCCATTTACCTTAAATCGGACGAAAATATATATGGGAGCTTTACCACAGTGTGGCGAAGGGTATACAAATCCTCGCCTCTTGGTGGTCCCAGAAAAAAAATTATTTAAAAAATCCGCGTCTCTTGGTGGTCCCTTTAAAAGAAAAAATAATTTAAACCAGTGAGCGGAGCAGTATAGTCGGACGGGGTCGACCACACGATACCCTACACAACTACCACGGAACTCAAATTTTCTGCGGATGTTTATTTCGAGCAATATTTCGTGATATTTGCACCCTCAGGTGCAAATACGAGTATTCAGTACAGCTGTTGTCCAGATTCCCTTCACCGTGGGTTGTGTGGTGATGTTCGGCTTTCATTTGTGGTCTATTGATCGACTCGAAAATAACACAAAAAATTAAGTTTTCGGTCCACTTCATTCCAAAATTATTATCTGATTATCACCGAAAATTATAGGCGTTGTCCTTGACCATAACTGGAACCTTAAGGAACATTTCAAAGCGATCAGCGTCATAGTTCCGCTCTCTAGAGTGATAATGGGTTACTAAATAATATACGAATACGGAGATATACGGAGTAAATGTTTACGTGTAACTCCCACATCCGAGTAGATACGACAATATATCCAGGTATCCAGGTAAACCACCACTCTATACTGTCAGCTTATTGGCTCTATGTACCTCAGGAGTAAGTATATACGGTGTAGAATACACAAAAGTCAGGGTCCATTTGGCCCGCTAAATATTGACCAATCTTTTTCAAAACAGGCATACTTGTTCTTTGGCCCAATCCCCTTCTCCATGTATAAATTCGAGATGTTTGGGCCATAATTGCAGCCTCTGGAGCGACCAGAAAAACCGACAAAAATGAAGTATTTGGTCCATTTCTTCCCCAAAATATTAACCGATCTTTACCAAAAACAGTAGGGGTCTTCATTGGGCCGAACCCTTCCTACATGCATAATTTCGTGATCCATAACTGTGTCCTGTATCGTGTTTACAAATATAATGGACAGACGGACGGACGGACACACATGTCTATATCGACTCAGCTAGTCGAGATATGACGATCGGTATACTTAAAGGTGGGTCTAGGACCAATATTTCGCCGCGTTACAAGGTCCCTGAAAAAAATTATTTAAAAAAATCTACGTCATCCCAGGAGGTTTTTGTGGATAAGAAAGACAAATAAACCATAACTCACCCACATAGTGGTCTGGGGTATTATTTATACAATTTTGTTTAACTGAATTATTTTTCTAAGCAATTTAAACAAATTTTTAGTTTGGCATGTTTTTTAGTTGCATCTGATAAAAAAAAACCACAACAACAACAAAACGCATAAAACAATTTATTAAAACATATACGAGTACAAAGCGACTGTGTGTGAGTGGCTGTGTTACCTGCCCACAGTTTTCCGGTCATTGAGGTGGCAGACAAAACATCGCACCACATAAAAAAATGAATGAAGGAAACACTGACACCACCAACAAACGGTGTTGCCTGCCACCTTCCAACTCGCATGGGCTAATATTCCACAAAGCGTTTTTTTGCCGCCTGCCAAACATGTTTGTTTGTATAATTTTCGTTCATTGCAGCCTTTTGTTTATTTCAATATTTTATTTTCTAAAATTTTATTTCTCACCGAATAATATTTTTCTAACTTTGAAAATGCAGCTTTTTTCCGCTCACTACGTCATTACTCAATATCATAAAAAAACAGATGTCAATCTCTTTACGGGGCAATTCCGACGATGGGCTTATTTTCCACAAGAAGATTATCTGACCATAGTTTGTCCTAATTTTTTGTTAATGTGTGCGTGTGTGTGGTATTTGGTTGTATGGGAGAGTGGGACATGAACAAAAAAATGATTTCAAAGTCAAAAATGTGTTGCACTAGTTTTTCTTCGTCGATGTTGTTGTTTGTTTCTTCATCATGGTATTTAACGTCATAGTGAATGTTAAATAAGCCAGACACCCGAAAAGTTTTTCATAAAGAAAAACCAAAAACAAATTTGTTTCTACATGCATATTTTGAAATCAAATGAACCTGCTCCGAAACACCCACCCTCTTTTTGAAAAAAAAAACTAACAACAAAAATTCACAACAAGAATGCAGTGCAATTGAGTTGTGTTCGAATAGATAGAAATATAATACCAGGACAATAAAAAATATTTAAAAAAAATCTAGGCCTATGGCTAGTCATGAAAAAAATGATTTAAAACATCTAGGCCTTTGGCAGGTCTTGAAAAAAATTATTTTTAAAATCTAATCCTATCGGTGGCCTTAAAAAATTAGTTATAAAATCTACGCCTATCGGTGGCATTAAAAAAATTATTTAAAAAATTTACGCCTATTGATGGCCTCTGAATTTTTTTAAAATCTACCGCTAATTATTTACTTAGCTGGCTTATTACAGAACGGTTGTTCCATAAACCGAGCTTAAAAAAGATTTCCAAGCGCGTCGGTCTTGTGCGCATCTCCACCAATTTGAAAGACCACGTTCCAAGATGTTGTTTTCTCCTTGGTCTTTCCATCGAATTCGTGGCCTTTCCCTTCTACGGGAACCATCAGTAGGCACGCTTTTGTATGCCTATTGAGCTGGGGCATTCTCATTCATTCGCAGAACATGGCCTAGCCACCGTAGTCGCTGCAGCCCAATAGGACTGACTATGTCGATGTTCGCGTATAAATTGTAAAGCTCGTGGTTCATTCGACGCCGATATTCACGGTCGACGCACATCGGTCCGTAGATCTTTCGGAGATTTTTTCTCTCAAACACCCCAAGAGCTGCCTCATCGGCTTGCGCAAGTACCCATGCTTCAGAGCCATATAAAAGCACTGCATAGTAGCATCTGTTGACCATCACAATGCTTCTCTGAATTTCAAAACTGATGTCATTAGTTTGTTTTATGGCGGTGCCAAGGTATATAAAATCTTTAGCTACCTCGAAGCTGTAGTTCTCAAGTTTTACAGTTGGTCCGAGTCTACTGGACGTCTTGCGCGTTAATCCCATCAGCTTGGTCTACTCGCCGTTTACTGCCAGACCACATTTGGCAGACTCCTTCTCCATTTGTTCAAAGGTTGCTGTTACTATTGCGAGCAGTAACAGCAACCCTCGACCCATTATATCGATGTCATCGGCATAGGCGAATAACATGTGCTTTTTTGGTGTACAGAGTGCCAGTTCTGTTCACCTTTGCGTCTCGTATGACATTTTCCAGCAGGATGTTATAAAGAGCACACGACAAACTGTCACCTTCGTCACCTGTCACCTGTCAAACTGAATCGTCGTTCGGTATTGAAGGGCTCCGATCGGTCCTTTCCGACTTTAACTGCCACTTAAAGTTATCCTGCATAGCCGTATTAATTTTGCAGGAATGCCGAACGTATACATGGCTTTAAACACCTCTGAATGGATAGGGCTGTCGAATGCGGCTTTATAGTCGATGAATAGGTGGTATGTGTCGACGTGTTTTTCGTGGGTGGGTCTTTTCCAGGATTTGGCGCAGAGTGAAAATCTGTTCTATGGTGGATTTGCCAGGTCTGAAGGTTTATAAAATATTTTTTTGAATTTTTAATTTAATGTTAAATAATTTTTTCATCTTTCTCCCAATAGGCGTAGATTTGTATACCCTTCACCACACTGTGGTACAGGGTATTATGTCTTCGTACATATGTTTGTAACAGGCAAAAGGAAACGAGATAAACACATGGTTCCTTTTGAGAATATGCATAGAATCACTTTCTGAGTCGATTTACGCATGTCCGTCTATCCATCCGTCCGTCCGTCCATTCATTTTTGTGAACAAAGAACAGGTCGTATTTAGAATCCGATTTTGAGTGAAATTTGGCATAGGTCACTTAACCCTATTGAAATTGGGAAAAATCGGTTCAGATTTAGATATAGCTCCCATATATATATTCGTCTGATTTTATGTAAATGGTGCGCCAAAGTCCCTATATATTTTTCGATTTACACGACATTTGGCACAGCGTAATGAATTAAGTCTAGAACGACGTATGTTAAATTTTATGAACATCGGTTCAGATTTAGATATATTTTCCATATATAGTTTCGTCCGATTTAAGGTAAATGGTGCACCAAAGTCCCCATATATCTTGCGATTTGCACGAAATTTGACAAAGCGTACTGAATTAAGCCTGGAATGATGTGTGCTAACTTTCGTGAAAATCGGTTCAGATTTAGGTAAAGCTCCTATAAATGGAAGTTTCGTGAAAATCGGTTCAGATTTAGATATAGCTCCCATATATTGTTTCGTCCGATTTTAAGTAAATGGTGCACCAAACTATCAATATTTGTCCGATTGAGACAAAATTTTGCACAGAGTACTGAATTAGATCTATATTGATACATGCCAAGTTTTGTTGACATCGGTACAGATTTAAATGTAGCTCCCATATATATTTTTCAATATGTGTCCCATTGAGGCAAAATTTTGCACAAAATTTAGGCCGATTGGTACAAAATTTTGCACAGAGTATTGAGTTAGGCCCAGATTGATGAATGCCAAATTTTGTTGGAATCGGTTCGGATTTAGATATAGCTCCCATATATATTTTCGTGCGATTTAATGTAAATGGTGCTCTAAAGTCCCTATATATCTCTCGATTTGCACGAAATTTGGCACAGCGTAATGAATTAGGTCTAGAATGATGTGTATTAAGTTTCATGAAAATCGGTTCAGATTTAGATATAGCTCCCATGTATATTTTCGTCCGATTTAATGTAAATGGTGCACAAAAGTCCCTATATACCTTTCGATGTGCACAAAATTTGGCATAGCTTCTATATCTGACCAAATGAAAAATTTAGTATCGGTTGAAGAATGACATGTTTATGGATCCAATTTCATATTACTGGTCCTTTAAAAATGCGACGTCTGTTAGGATTAATCTGTTGAATATACCCAAAGTGGTGAAAGGTATCATATAGTCGGTCCCGTCCGACTTTTGAGCTTTCCTTACTGGTTTTTAAATGGGGTGGGGTGTCTCCATAGGCGTAGATTTTTTTAAATGATTTGCTATATTACCTTACCACAGCTGTGTTTCTTGCACCGCATTGACTTTGAAATTTGCTTGTGTGCCAGTTCACCAAAATGTTTGAAATATTTTTGCTTTTCAAAAACTAGTCAAAACAAAAATAAAATTCTCTTCTGGCAGAAGATAAAAACAGAAATGCAATTGTTAGATATTTCAAAAAAACTACTTTTGATTTTACTTTTACACTCAGAAATGTCTGTCCAACTGCCAGCCGCCCATCCATCTATCTCAACCATTCATTTGTATTATTTTCGTTTTATTCAATGAGATCTTTAAATAGTAAAATTTCGTAATAAATATTAATAACAATTGCTATACATCGTTAATTTTATTTCATTTTTCTCTTTTTTTCTTTCAATTGTTGAATTTGTCATAGACAAATTAGCATTTCTTTATTAGTCATGTCTTTAGTTAGTCACTCAATTCAAATTTGCTTTGCTTTGGGTTGTTTTGAAAATTTCTAATTTTTTGTGGCATTTTTTCTTGGCAAAATTTTCTCATCTTCAGCTTAAAAATAAAAAATGCAGTCATATTGTAAATTTACTAAAAAAATAAAATTTCAATATTTTTCTAAATATTTTTTTTCCTGCTGCAAATTTTATAGAGGATTCGGATGCCATTATAGGTGTGGAAAGTCCAGGTAATTGTGATAATTTGTCATTCAAAAAATTTTTCAATTTAAAAATATTTATGTCAACACTTTTTTTTTATTTCAACATGTGATATTTATTTATTTAATTTTTTTCGAATTTATTTTGTTTATACAAATATGAAAAATTGGCATGTGCATAAACCATTAATATGCCAGGGCCCAGAACATGTGTTTGTCTCCTCATATCTGTGCCGCTTAAATGGAGTTTCTCGTCTCCTCTTTATTTTCATTTTTTGTTAATCAACAAATAAAACCGCCAATAATTCCGACTTGCAATCGATGATATCATTTCGAGTTAAAAGTCAGACATAACCTTGAAGTTTGCTAAACGAAAACGAAAATTCCCAATAAAAATGCACACAATACACAAATTAATGGTATTTTATTTGAGTTGTGAAGGACCAATGGGTTGGCTGCCGAAATGACTTCTAAGAAATGTGAGGAGACGGCAAATGAAAATGAAAAATATAAACAAAACATTGTCTGGAGGTTATGTCGGAACTTTAAAGAAAGGGTACACAAACGTATATCACACTAACAAAAAATAAATACAAGAAAGCTAATAAAACATACAAACATATTTATGTATGAAAACTTCTTAAAGAAGGCCGCACACGCTCAAAAAGTATTTATAAATTCCACGCCTATGGGAGACACAGAAAAAAATGATTTAAAAAATCCACGTCAATGTCAATTATCGAGCAAAATATGTAAAAGATCTATATATAAATGGACGTACTTGGGCATGCGTGACATCCACAATATGATATGCCGCTACACAGTGCGCTATCCAAAATTTATCTCGACACAAAATCCAATACAAAACATGACATGCATCAATCTAGACCAAATTCAGTACTCTGTGCAAAATTGTATCTCAATCGGACAAACATCGGTAGTATGGTGCACCAGTTACAAAAAATCGGAGGAAACTATATATAGGAGCTATATCTAAATCTGAACCGATTTCAACAAAACTTCGCATACATAAATTTGAACCTAATTCACTACGCTGCGCAGAATTTTGTCTCAATCGGCCTAAATTTTACTCATTGGTGCTCCATTTACATAAAATCGGACGAAACTATAATTGCGAGCTATATCTTAATCTAAACCGATTCCAACAAAACTTCGCATACATCAATCTGGGCCTAATTCAATGCTCTGTGCAAAATTTTGTCTCAATCGGACAAATATTGGTAGTATGGTGCTCCATTTACATAAAATCGGACGAAACTATATATGGGAGCTATATCTAAATCTGAACCAATTTTAACAAAACTTGGAATGTATCAATCTAGACCTAATTCAGAACTATGTGCAAAATTTTGTCTCAATCGGACAAATATTAGGAGTTTGATGCACCATTTACTTAAAATCGGACGAAACTATATATGGGAGCTATATCTAAATCAGAACCGATTTTCACAAAACTTAGCACACTTCTATCTATACTCAATTCAGTACGCTATGCCAAATTTCGTGTTAATGGAAATATATATAGGGACTTTGATGCTCGATTTACATTAAATCGGACGAAAATATGTATGGGAGCTATATCTAAATTTGGACCGATTTTCACCAAACTTGGCAGACATCACTCTAGGCTCAATTCAGTACGTTATTCGAATCAAACTATTTTCAGGGAATTTACCTAAAATCGGCCGAGCTATATCTAAATCTGAAGCAATTTTCACGAAATTGAAAACATATCGTTCTAGACTCAATTCAGTACGCCACGCCAAATTTCGTCCAAATCGGGAGATATATAGTGATTTTTGTACACCATTTACATAAAATCGGACAAAACTATATATGGGACATATATCTATGTCTGAACCGATTTTCACAAAACTTAGCACACATCATTCTAGATTCAATTCAGTACGCCATACCAAATTTTGTGCAAATCGAAAGATATATAGAGACTTTTCTGCACCATTTACATTAAATCGGACGAAAATATATATGGGAGCCAGGAACGTACGCGAAACGAATTTTTTCACAGTAAATTTTTGTTTGCAACATCGATTTTTTTTTCATTTTGTACTACCGGGCCCCCCCGAAATGAAATCCTGTGTACGTTGCTGATGGGAGCTATACCTAAATCTGAATTGATTTTCACGAAACTTAGCACACATCATTCTAGACTCAAGTCAGTACGCCATGCCAAATTTCGTGGAAATCGAAAGATATATAGGTTCTTTGGCGTACCATTTCTTTAAATTGAAGGAAAATATATATGGGAGCTAGATATATCTGAACCGATTTTCAGGAAAGCACACATCTCTCTATACTCAATTTAGTACGCTACGGAAAATTTCCTGTTAATCGAAAGATATATAGGGACTTTTACCATTTACATAAAATCGGACGAAAATATTTATGGTAACTATATTCAAATCTGAACCGATTTTCTTCAATTTCATTTCGTCCATGGGCCACATAAATGAGCTGTGCCAAATTTCATCCAATTCGAATCATAAATTCGACCTGTACTTTGTTTACAATTTAAAATGGACAGCAGACAGACATACGGACGGACATGCATAAATCGACGTATAAGGTTATTCTATTCATATTCTCAAAAGGAACCATGTGTCTATCTCGTTTCCTTTTGCCCGTTACAAACATATGCACAAAGACATAATACCCTGTACCACAGTGTGGTGAAGGGTATAAAAATCGACGCCTACGGGAGACAAAGATAACATTATTTAAAAAAATCCACCCTCTCCATTCTCGGGGTCAAATATTTTGTTGGTATAATTCGAATCTACACTAATTAAAGAATATCCCTACAAAATTTCAAATGAAAATCTTAAGAACTCTTGAAGATATAGCCGATTTATTGTGTCAGCATCAAATGACGGCTGAAGGGCTTCTCAAACTTTAAACGCTTTTTTCTCTAAACATTTTTTTGCGAATGACGGGCATGATAACTCAAAACTAATAATTCAATCGATTTCAAATTTTTACACGTTTCTCTGTGAGTGTATAGCTATCGTATGAACTAGGATAAAGCCAATCGGTGAAGATCTTCCTTATTTTTTATCTTGGTTTTTGGTAAAAATCGGCAATTTTCCAAAAATATTTTTTCAAAGGTCCACCATTTTGTTAATTTAGAGCGAAGTCATTAATACTAGTTCATACGAGAGCCAGACATGTACTCTTTCTAACACCGTTGGAATTTTCGGATTCCGATGTTCCAGTGAGGAGTATCATGCCCGCCATCAAAAATAAGGACTTTTTTTTAATTATAAAAAACAACAACAAAACAATAACAAACATTTTTGGTAAATTATTTTTCTTCCTTTTTAAATCTTCAGAAACAATGACGTAAATGACCTACATATCCAACGTATAATACATACGTCAGAAACGTCGGAAACCTACTCAAAACCATTAGGATTTTGACAAAATAGCTGTTTCCTTTAATAAATTATCAAATTACTTATGCTTTACTCAAATCCATATCAAATTTCAAAATTTTTATCTCCAAAAAGTTTGGAATTGTTTATCAGCTCCAGTAAGGAATAGTCAGATATATATAAAATTGATATATATTCTACAAAATACCTATATATGGTAATGATATTCAAATAAATAACGTTTACTACATTTATTACATTTTATACAGGTATATGACGTTTTCGACGTTTACACCTTTTTGACAGTCGAAAACCTGAAAATTCGTCGCACGGACCATCCCTGACCTTAACAAACATTGGTATTGATTTACCAGCCCATTGTAAATCTTTAAAAATTAAAATCGAGAAAATTATCTTTTTCAAGGTTTCCATTTAGCACACATTTGTTGTTTTTTTCAATAATTTTTCCATATGTGTTTTTTTCTTTGGTTTGACGAATATAATAACTTTCATCAAGCTGACAAAACTAATCAATAATTCACAAATCGTAGAAATATGTTCTTGTGATTGCATTTCGCATGAATAATGTATAGAATAGCCCACATCAAACAAAATTTTGCACCGCAAAACACTCCCATATTTGGTGTGGGTAAAAAAAACGGCAGCAGGCCTTGCAGATATTATTAAAATTCATGCGGATCATTTTAAAATAAATCATAACAATAGCAGAGGCTAATATGCTTTAACTGTCATCACTGAGAATATAATTGGGACTGAGAGCTACCTAAAAAAAATATTGACAGTCTCGTTCATGATTGATAGGAAATTTAGTTAGTATTGAATTTTAAATATTCCAATGGATATTTTGTGGCACGAAGTGGTTTGATTGGCAATTATCAAAAATTAAAAAATATATATATATATTATTTAAATTTTGAAATATTTAAATTATATATGACTGAGGTACTAAAATCTCCTCGTAATCTTAATCAGATAAATCTATTTGTGTGATATTTTTATTAGCTGCTATAACTCTTCTCAAAAAATAAAAAAATCCAAACCGTGATTAATAGCTCAAACCACCAATAAAAAGTACACCTACCATGGACCATAAAAAATTGAAATCCAGAAATAAAATTAGCTGCATTTTTTATATATCATTCTCACTAACAAAATTAAATGTTTTACTAAAATTATAATTTCTCTTAAAAACAACGATTAATTATAATGAACATCCAGATCCAAAATAGCAATTATAAGAACATTTTATGACAATCCATTAATTAAACAATTAAAAGAAATGCCATAAAACTTGTGGCGTCGGACACAAAAAATTTGTTTCCAAAAAAACATGATCGCTATCATCGCCAAACACCAAACAATAAAAACTTGTAATCGAAACGATCACGTGTTGAAAAGCTAAAACTAAATTTGAGAAATTACTACAACAACAACAACAGTGAAATTGACACTACAACAACGGGTGTCGTTTTCTGTTGTTGTTGTCGCTGGACAAAAATGTCATTAATGGCCGTCTATAGACTTAAATGTTCAATTAAGGAAAGTTGTTAAATTTATATGGGTTTTCAATAGCTTTGGTGGGCGTGAAGAGGTCAT